CCCCCCCCGCCACTCCTCCCCCTTGCAACACCCACCACCATCACCAAGGAGGTAAGAAGAGGAAGCTGCAGGGACTGGGCTGTAATAAGCAGGAGGACAAAAACCCAATCAAATAAATACAATTCCACATTGCATTCGAGTTGCTAAACTAGGGAGGATGGGAAGGGAGAGGAAGTGCAGGGGCATTGCAGCGTGTGAATGGGTTTTTCATTGAGCAGAAGAAAATCCTGGAGGATTTTTTTGTTTTGGTTTGGTTTGAAGCTATCGCATTGAGATCGCCTGGGCTGTGTAGGTGCTTCTTTTACTGGTTTGCATTTTTAACGGTTTAATGTGTTTCACGAGCAAAAATCTGTACAATACTGGAAGTGATCAGGGGGCGGGGCAGGGGGAGAGCAGCTGAGCTGGACTCGTTTCTTTGCATTTCATCATAAAGCTTTTAATGGATTTTTTCCCCCTTTTGGGCTCCGTTTAAACGTCAGCTGTTTTAAAACCCAGCAAAACGATTTTTTCCCTTCGTGTTACGTTAGCTGAGGTGAAGGGCGACACTGAATGTCTAGTTTAGATGTAAAGTCTTTTTTTTTTTTTTTTTAAATGTCTGATGCAATTGAGGTCTTGGAACAGGAATGGGGCTGTGGTTGTCTGGTCGCGGATAGCGAGTGGGGGGTCCAGTTAAGGTAAGGGTAGCATGAATTTTCCGGAGGTGAGAAAGGGTGGAAAGCTTATATTTTCAGTAGGTTTTATTGCGTGAAGTGGCAAAATGTGCAAAGTTGTTGTCCTTGCAACCTCTCCTTTGCTGTTGTCTTAAAACTGTAAAAAGGGGGAGAAAAACTTCCTGTACCTTCTTGGCAAATCAGCAGGCTTTGTTGGTGGTGCCGGCGTGTTTTCAATGCATTTTTATGTGAGATTATTACATCAGGTTGATAATTTTTGTAGCTGCCGAATTTCTCCTCCTCCTCCCCCCCTCTCCCCGCCTTGTGTTTTGTGCGGATTTCTCTGGCTCGCTTGGAGTGAATGAACTGGCGATCTGCAAAGTTGCAAAGAGCCCCTCCGCCCCCTGTTTTGCATCCTTCTCTCTCCCCTTTGCACTGTTCTGCAGATGACAAAAGGAGTAAACTTCCTCTACTTTTGCTGGCACATTAAGAGGGCTTTCTGGAGAGATTACGGTATCAAAGCCTTGCATCTGCCTGCAGTTAGTCTGCTGTTGGAGCGTTTGCAGCAGTTTGGGGGAGAGCACGCGAGTGATGTGTGCAAAAGCACAGAGGTTGCTTTGCATCTTGGCTGTACCTTGCTGCCTTGTTTTGTGTCCTCCCGGAGCGCTGGGTGAAAGCAGAAAGCTTTGCATGCGGCCGCGCTACCCGATTGCTTTTGTTTCAATATTTTGGTCGGGAGGAAAGGTGTGAGATGCATTTTTCACAAGTTGCAAAAGGCGCCCGGCCTCTTGATGTTGATTACGGGCTGTTTTTTTTTCCGTTAAGAGGAAGGGAGTTACGTGCTTGTCTGTTTTTCGTGTTTTAATTGTGGTTGTTTTTTATTTTTTATTTTTTTTACTTTTGGTTTAGTTTCAGGTCTTGGGAGCACCTCTCTTCCCTTTGGTGGAAATACCCATAAAACCTGCCTCTAACACAATTGCCCAAGCCAGGAGTCCGCGAGAAGACCCGTAATGCCAGGAATGGTCAGTAAAAACCCAGACCTCGAGTTTGACTCTTTGCAGCCCTGTTTCTACCCGGACGAAGATGATTTTTATTTGTGCGGGCCGGACTCTGCTCCCCCAGGGGAAGACATCTGGAAAAAGTTTGAGCTGCTGCCCACCCCCCCGCTGCCCCCCAGCCGGGCCGGGCTCCAGGAGCACCCGCCGGGG